AAATGACATGCTTGGTTAGACTTACTAATGGTAAAAAGGATTACAATGTTAATATCAATTGCATATTTTTTTTGGTAATATCCATTTCTATGGGAGGGGTTATGATTGATCATTGTAGGGCTGCAATCTCTTAAAATATCCATTTTATCCTTTGTAATCAATGTGAAAATACAATATTTGCCCTTAGAAAGTTATCCCTCTCCAAACTTTATCCTTCATCTCCCTCCCTCCATTACCATCATCGCTCTCTCTCTCCAAATTTTATCCTTCATCTCCCTCCCTCCATTACCATCATCGCTCTCTCTCTCTCCAAACTTTATCCTCAATCTCCCTCCCTCCATTACTATCATCGCTCTCTCTCCTCCTTTTCCCTTATCTCTTCCCTTCATTATCGTCATCTCCTCACACTACTTCACTTTTACCTCCAAATTGGTTAATCTTTGTCCCCTCTCTCCTGATTTATGCTGTTTTGGTGCATCACGTGTAGACCATGGCTGAAAGAGTTGATGGAAAAAGGGAATTGTTGCTGGCATTGAGAGAACTTGAATGCAAATAGAGCACAAAGTCGTGCAAGATAGGCAATGCACAAGGGTTTTCACAGTGAGAGACAATAAATGTTGAAACGACATATGAGAACGACATTGCGTCTAAGAGCTAAAGACGATGAAGGCATTGTCCGGAGAAAAGCAAGGTTAGTTTGGTTCTTTCTTTCTTATTCATCATAGTCAGATTATGGAGAGGATAAATTTGAAAATGTTTCAAATTCGAAAATCCAAGACAAAGCTAACGCAAAAATGGAGGTGGACTATGAGTTGTTGAAGAGGTTGTGACTTGCAAGGATTTGACGGCGGGGGATTGGCAATTGCAGAAAGAGGTGTAGGAGCATCCCTGTTTGTGCTTATGATTGGGCGCATTCTAGACTTTTAATCTTATTTTTAATTGATTAAATATAAGAGATAATTTTTTTTTTGCCAAATCTTATTAATAACTTACAAAACATATTGATGGTAAGGAATATTACATTACACCCCATTGCATTGCATTATCATCTATAAGCTCTTGGTAATTGAACCAAACAGGCCCTTAATTCATTTATTACTCAATAAAATCCTTCATAATGTTCATACTCTCTATTCTTCACTTTTAAGTACTTATTCTATTTGTGATAGTCTTGAAAATAATATAATTTATTATTTGAGTTGACTCAAGATTGTGAAATTTTAAGGGAATAATTATCACTTTAGATGGTGCAAGAGCTGGGAGAATAAATAAATATGAGTGTGTGTGGCTGTGGATGTACTAAGACACCAAAAAGCCGATTCTATCTTTATAGTTATAATGGAAACTATCAGACGGTGTTTTGAGGAATGGGTGTAGGTTGAATGGATTAGACCGAGTCACTATAAATATGCAATGTGCCATTCATTCTCTCTCTCCTACCTAATAATGGTGACGTTAACTCTATGTCATTTCATTTATTATTTTTTCTTTTAAACTTTTAATTTCTTTAAATTTTTATTTTCACCAAATTTACTGCCATTTGGGTGAGTTTTACACTAACAATCAGCATAGTTCTTACCTATGAAGTCTTCTCATGTATTAGATATGCTTGTCCCAACTCTATATTCAAGAAATATTGAGACTTCATGGGTGCCAAATAGCATTCACTTCAAATTTTTGGAAATCTTTATGAAAGGCTTAGGTGCAAAATTAAGACTTAATACACCCTACCACCCTCAAATTGGTCAAACGGAGAAAACCATTCAAACCCTAAAAGAATAATTAGGGCTTGTGTTTTAGAAATTGAGGGAAATTGGGATGCATTCTTGTCTTTAGCATAATTTGCTTACAGTAATAATTATCATTCTAGTATTCAAATGACTCCTTTTAAATCTTGTATGAAAGAAAGTATAAATCACTCTCATGTTAGCTAGAGCTTGAAGAAAGAAAGTTTTTGGATACTAAAATAGTAGATCAAACCTCTAGAAAAATTGAATTTGTGAAAAAGAAATCATTAATAGCGCAAAGTAGGCAGAAAGCTACTTAAATAAGAAAAAAAGGAGCCTAAAGTTTAATGTTGGGGGTTGTGTTTCTCAAAATATCATTGGTTATTGGGATTGACATATATTAAGATGAGAAAGCCTAGTCTAATGTACATTGTGCTATTCCAGATCCTTTCTCGAAGCATACCAATTGCTTTACAAAATTGCTTTGCCACCTAAACTAAGCCAAATTGATGACATCTTCTATGTCTGCTGGTTTAAAAAGTACCAACGTGACCCATCACAGGTCATACGGGATATGAAAATATACATTTGTTTGATAGCTTGTCTTTTGAAATAGAAACTGAAAGAATTATTGGAACTAAGATAGCTAAGAAATAAAAACAATACTTGGGCTTGCAAATAAGGATGGAAATAAGCTAGGTTAAGTTGGGTTTTAGCTAAATAGACTTGAACCTACAATTGGGGCTTAAAACCTGAGCCTGTATATAGGTTTTTTTTAAGGTTCAATCCTAAGCCTTCAAAAACTTATCAAGTATGAAACTTTTTGGAGGCCTATTTACAATGTAGGCCTTTTCATATTTGAGCCTTGAAAGCCATAAATAAATAGCTTTGAACCTATTAAAGCTTATACTCCCTCTAGTCTTTAGTTTAAAATCTCGTTTGACTTTTATTTTGGTTCTAAATATAAGATTCTAATATACTTTGTCTCTTATATTTATACTTTTTTTAAAAGTAATCCTCCTAATAATGATAGTTCTATCCAATACATTTGGTTAGTAAGGATATTTTAGGAAAGACAACACCTATTTATTACAACTAACTAACTAAACTTATTTCCTTAATTTTCTCAAATTAGTCAACTAGTTCTTATAATTAGGACCGGAAGTAGTATTTAACATCTTCTAATGTTATATATTTAAAATCTACATATAATTAAAATTTAAAACAAAGCCTAATTTTAATAAATTGTAAAGTCTGTTTAATGTGATGGGAATGCCAAAAAAATCCCATTAGAATGCAATACAACAATAAAACAATCAACATACAATAACATATGACATAAATATATTGATTAAATAATTAATTAAAATATATAATATATTAAACAGGTCAGGCTTGCAAGCTTACATGTTAGGCTTCAAAACAAAAAAGCCTAGCTTGCTTAAGCAAGTAGACTTTCAAATAGGCTTTAAACCTGTCTTATTTGCTAAACAGATCAGGCCTTGTCAGGACCTAAGTAGGCTAGGACGTAGACCCTAGAAAAAGATTTGGCATATTTTCATTCCTACTTACAAAGTTTTGGTCTTGGTTCTTTTATTTAATTTTATTCAACACAATGACGATCTATACTTTTTATCATACAATGTCTCATAAAACATTGTTTGGATACAACAGCTGTTGTTATACAGAAACTTAGCCAATACCAAATTGACTATAATATATTATTTTGGAATGATATTTTAAATATTTTTATTTAATCTCACATAATTTTATTACTTTTTCCTTCTCCTAAAATTATGATCTGAAATATTCCTAAAAATTTAATTTAATTTTGATTTTCCTTATTCAAATAATTACATGGTAAATTTTAATTATCACCAAATAATCTAATCCTAAAGTTACTTAAATCCTAAAGAGAAAACTGGAATGCTACACCATTCTTCACTATCAATACGGATATGCTTGAAGTTGATATTTTTTGTTCATGAATAAAAATATGACATTTAAATATAATCTTTAAACAGAATAAAAATGTAATTTTAAAACTAGTTAATAATAATATTCTTGCTACACGAGCTTTCAAACCCGTAAAAGACAACCGGCCAAAAAAACAAAACCGTAAAAGACGTCAAAATTTAGAATTTAGATGTTTATGTGATCCCAAAAAAAAAAAAAGGAATTGAGGAGCGAAAAATAGAAAATTCTGAAAAACACAAAACTATTAAAAGTTTAAAACATTTACCGACTGAGCCGCTGATCCTTACAGATATATTTTATTGTATTTTTTTCACTTAGGATCTGGGAATTAAAAAAAAGGAAAGTACAGAGGTATCCTATGAAGATTATGAGTTTGGCTCATAGAACAGCTGGATCTGGATATACATGAAAAATCAATATTTTTAGTTTTAGTTTTTTGAACTTCTTTTGTTTTAATCTCTATGATCTTAAAATTTATACTTGAATTCATATTATCTGTTATGTGTTCGATCAATTCATCGCAGTTCTTCCAATTTTATGGCCATTTATTAAATTTATTAACCATATTTATTACTCATATTATTAATTTTATGTAAAAACATAAAAATATGGATATATTTCAATATTATACTCAATTGAATTAAGTTATAAAAAAATTAGTGATTTTATATATTTGGAAATACTCATATGTCTGATCTTGTTTTTAAAAACCATTTTGAAATTTATTTTAAAACACCACTTTCACAAAACAAAACAAAATTTATATGATAACGTTAATTTTAAGACAGTTTTTTTTTTTTGCCAATAATTTTAAGACAGTTTTAGAGGAAAGAAAACAATAAAACTTATTTGGTAAAACCCTATTGCCACATAATTACAATGATGCAATTAATTTTTTTGTGTGGCCTAAACAATGATGCAATTAATGATAAATAAAAAAGAGAGCAGTTTATCGCCTCTGCTATTTTAAAAAGTGAAAACGTAAACGAAAAATAGAAATAGCTTTTTGATGGTTTTTTTTGGGGCCAAAGCTTTATTTTTAGATATTTTAAAACAAAATCAGAGTTACAATTTTAAAAACAGGTTATATGAAAAATACTTATCAAACGATTTTTTTATTTTTTACCTTTAAAATCAAAAATAGTTTTCAAGAATAAAAAATCAAACAGGCTCTATATTTTTAGTTTTACATTTTCACCGTATGAGCGTATTTGTTAGAAAATTTGGCGGGCACCTCAAGCAATTTCAAATAAAGAGCAAACCCTAGGGCCCGTCGATTTTCCCTCTCCATCTCTCCCCCCATTTCCTTCTCTCTCCCTGTGAACCTTCCCATTTGCTCGGCGGATTTTCAATTTCTCTGCGAACTACGCTGAGGTTGGTATCTTTTGTGCCTTCTTGCTCTGTTATTGCTCTAGGGTTTGAATTTCTAAATCGCCTGATCCCACACAAATCATGGAAGTTTTATGGGTTTTATGCTCCACTTGTGTTACACTCTCTGTTTCCACTATTTTCAGTGCACCAATTAGTTATTTACTTCAAATTACTTTGGGCAATTTCAGGGTAAATTGATGAAACCGTGAGATCATCATCCGATTGAAGCTTTATGTGGGAAATACAGGAATTAGGGTGATAGAGCCATGGGAAAGGTTTCGCTCAAAGAGAAGGGTAGTAACGCTTCAAAACCGAGAAGACGATTGCGGAGCTCGCGAAGTAAGCTTCTGAAGCAAGGTGCTTTCGTTCCGCTTCAGCAAAATAAATTGTCTCCTTCGTCTACCAAGTGCTGTACGGATACTGGAAATAAAAGAGGGGTCATTTTGCATTCTAGAAAAGCACGGAATAACGTTGGACCTGAAGAAAATGCTGCTGACAAAAGTCCATTGGTGTCATCGCCGGTGAATTTAGTCAAACAGAATATCTTTTTTGGCACACCCAAGACCCCTCGGACTGAGAATTGCGAATCAGAATCAAGGCTTGAATCCCTTCCTATAGATTTATGGGTATGCGTTTATTTGTATTGTGTGTTTATATCAAGTATAGTAAATTCATTCTCTTTGTCATTAGCGCCTCCTTATATTGCGGTACAATCTCTGTTTCGAAGGATTTCTCTGGTACTTCACAATTTACTGTGCACAGACGTTGTGTTCAGAAATATTCTAATATTAACATTAGTGCCACAAAAAATAGAATAAAAGTCTTATTATGCTGTTTGAACGGATTTCCTATAACTTTTTTTCCTGATAAAGTGTTGGTTGTTTATTATGCTAATGTGTTGTTGTCGTTTGTTTATTTATTCATTTGATGTTTTTAGTTCTAGACAGGTCAGTATCAATGATATGTTTTAGCTTCCGGCTTCTTCTTGCGTTGAATATAGCATATAGATTAAAGTGATACCAGTTGCCAAAATACAATCTAAATCACTTCACCTAGGACAGAGAGTGATTTACCCGTGGGCCAGACACAGTTTCTATTATAAGGCAAAGATAAGGTTGTTGAGCCATAATGCATCTCTCAACTGTACAGAGGTACACAATCACGCTTTTGGTTCTCTGCCAGAAGCTATGTAGGTTCACCATAATGATATAAAAACCAAATGATGCAGTTTTTAATGATTTTTTTCAATCCACCATGTCACTGTTTCCAGATAGATGGTTCTAGTCATAGTGTTTTCAGTAGCTCATGTATGCTTTTCGCTCTCTCAATAGCCATTTATTGGATTTTGTGTTACTCATTTCTTCCTAGTGTGTTGATTTTTTTTATTTTAAAAAATACTAGGTTAAAATATTGTGTCATCTGCATCATGACCAACTAAGGGCAGTCTTCCATGTTTCACAGAAAATTAGAAAAGCGGTAAGTGTTTGTTAGCCTGTCCCTTATTTATATATCATCTGATAAATTGTTTCTCATGATGGGCACAAGTGGTTCAAAATCTTGTTAACGGATCAAAGTTCATGATATTTTGTAACTTTTGTTAGGTTTTGATTGCAAGGCAATTCCACTTTAATTATACCACCCCAGATCGCACTAGGCAACAGATGCTAAATACAATGACTCCCCGTCCAAAGGAACGTTGGCCGTTTTTGAGGTAGTTGTCCTGCATTTGTATTTGAGCTTTTCTTGCATTGTTTATGCATGTTTTTCATATCACTATAAACTTTTGTAGCAAGAGCAGTGTAAAGGGCATGAGGATTCCAAGTCCCCATACTCCTAAAGCACCAAGACATGCACCACGCCCACCTTCTCGCTTAAAGGTTTCAGAGGTGCGTCAAGTTGCAGCAGTTCTATTTCAGGAGTCAGCTTTCCCTTCACATTGCATGGTGCCATCCGTTTTGCCAAAACCCCTGTGCAAATCCTTGGCTTCTAATAGAGCTCTGTTTTATGAGGATGAATTATGTCAGGCTGTTGCTCAAAATAAACTTCTCTGATGTTCTTCTGTTTTAACCCTGCTGCTTCATATTTCTGTGCCTTATATATTGTATAGTTTTTTTTTCCCCCCCCCCCTGGCCCCATAGTGAATGTAGCTGGAGAGCAAGGATGCAATTTTGGTGTTTCTCCTGGGACACTGGTAGGTGTGGATGTCTTAGATGTCTCAGTTGATGAGACTGGTTAGATATTGGGGTTGCGGCTGACATTATATGATCATTTTCTGTATGATCTGTGGTTCTCAAGACACGTAATGGTCCGATAATGCTATCCTTTTTGAGTCACAAAATTTAACTTCGTTCTGAGTCGATATAATTTCTGTTTCCATTTTTCATAATTGAATCACTGATGTAGGCACTGAAAAATTATCACTTAATTGTGATTTGGCTGTTAAAAATGAAGAATAGAAAAGGCTAAAAAAAAAAAAAGGCATGATTGCATTATCAAAAATATTGAGTTGGATATTGTTATTTGTACTTTTCATTTTTGCTTCAAGATAATAGAGGGGAAAAACAAGTTATGTTCAGCTAGATTTGGAGAGAGGGATTCTACTCATCGTTACTGACCACTTGTATAGATTGCTGAGAACTTTAGGGTTCTATTATGATTAATATGAAGATAATATTTATTTCTTTATGTACAATGCTTATTATATTATGATGACTAGATTGTGGGATGTGTTGTTACATGAAGGTTAAAGTGAATTATATTGTTCATAGCTTAATAGCACGTCTTTCTACAGATTTTGTATAATAATGTATAGTATTATATACAAAATGCTTATTATGTTATAACTAAATTATGGGGTTCTATTAGCTTGAAATGAATCATATTTTTCCGAGAAAGTTGGGAAAGTGTTTCGTTTCTCATTAAAAATTTTATTAGTGAGAAGGACCTAATAAATTTTTCATATAAAAAGTACAAATGTTTTATAAATTTTATGTGCAAAGAGTATAGATATTGTGACTTTTTTTCTAATGGGCAACCCCCCCAACCAACAGTAGTTATCTGTGAACATATGTTGCAAACCGACAGTAGTTTGAAAAAGAAGCCCAAGCTTAGTATCTAATTGCATAGTGAGAGCGCAAGGCTGCCTTAGAAAACATTGCATGGAAAGAGTTTTCATCCTCGTGAAATGGAGAGGTTCAAATCATGGAGCTGTGCCAAAGATCATTCATTATGATTATAACACCGTCTGATTAGGACCTCCGTTAACACGTTCATTCTCTTGTTAGTTAGGATTAATTCCTAGTATTAACTAAGCGGTGGTCAAGTGCTAGTTAAGTTATTTAAGCATACGAGGGATGAATATATAGACGAATGATTATTTGGTAAATCTAAGTATGTGATTTCTCAATTTCACACGCAAACATAGAGATTAACGTGAACTATGCATAAGTAGTTACACCCTTGAAAGATCTTCAAACACTTGACCAAGAAAAATGAACTTTTTTTTTTGGCTATGTATATGTATCTTTTTATTAGAGGCAATTTTATTTGAGACACTGTTAGCCATTAAATGTGGCACTTCTCTCAGTAAAGATTCGCATTTTATTTTATTATGTTGTGAAAGACTAACTCATTCTGCTAGACCCAACTCTCATGGTGAAAAATGAACTTTTAAGCTTTTCTTTAGATGAAACTCCAAAAATTTTACAGAATTTAGAACCACTACTAAGTACTAACCTTTTACTCACTTATTCATATCTTAATCTAGACCTTTAATTTTTGTGATTCCGAAATATTGTAAATAAAGTTTAGGACGTCCAATGACCAATGACACTCAAATAAAGCCCAAACTCAATGATTAAGCCCATCAAGGACATGCAAACACAAAACTACACGTGTCCCTCCTCGGTTCCTCCTCCTCCCATAGCTCTGTGCCTTCCTAGATCCCATCGCATTCCCTTATTTCTATTCCACTCCTTTATTTTTCTCTTTATTTTGTTCAAAACTGTTTTATGCTTTTTCAGGGTAGTTTTAGCTCTATTGGGTTCTGCTTGATTATGTTGAAAATATCAGCAGAATGAAGAATGAAGGGAGATTGAGCGGCAATCAAATACCCTGTATATAAGGGCAAGCGCACAAGGGAATTATTATACTCCTCCGATCCTTAATACAAGACCTATTTAACTAATTTGATTATATTAAGAAAGTTAGGTAAGTTAGTTAATTATAAAAAAATATGACATGTTTTTCTTAAAACACCATAATCATCTTCTTTAATATCTCATCTCCTTTTTTCATCAAAAAAAAATATCTTCTCTCCTTTTGATACTTGATTATGGTTGAGGGGGTATCCATAAAAATAATTTAGGAAAAATTGATAAATATGAGAAATAAGTCTTATATTTAACATCAACTCAACTTAACAATTAGGTCCCATATTAAGGACCAGAAAAGTATATTTTAATAAGCCTCATCTAAATTAAGTAATATGAGACTCTTCGTATAGTTTGTATAAGCAACCACAACAAGTAATTCTAGGCTTTTGAAGCCGTTTTCAATACCTAATGAAAATATGGAATTGGAAAGACCTTTTAGGCAACTCTAAAGCTCCTAGTCTAGCTCTTACTCCTATTCCACTCAGTTGCGATATTCACAACATTCTCGGATTTGCAGAAGATTGGACAATCTATGTGCAACAAGGCTGAGGTTTGAAGACATACTTATTGTATTGCCGCAATGCTTTTTGATTGTGAAAAAAATACAAACTTTCGTTCAGGTGAAACTTCAATCTTCAAATCCTTGTCTATTTTTATTTTTTCTATATGAGACTGATATTGCATTGGGTTACTCAAGTTTGCCAACTTTTTTGACATCATTGAAACACATCAATATCGTCACCATGAAGAATTTGCTCAATAGTTCTCTTGTCCATTCAAGTTTCAGTGGCAACTTACAAAATATGTCCATTCACTGCTTTAATTTTTTTTTTTCAATTGCTCTTTTATTAAAACTTGTGTCGTATTAGTTCTCCATTTCATGGTCATTACTGCTTCAATTTTAGTTGTATAATTTTTTAACTTTTTATAAAATGGATCTTTTAATCCAAAAAGAAACAAAGGAATTAATCTCCCATTATAAACCCACCACTATATATATCTAATCTAGGCCCACGCAAACCCTTACACAAGGCTCAATTTCAGCTTTTATTACATACTTGATATGGCAACCAAAAAAGGGATATGGTCTCAGCAGCACAACTAACTTTTCCTACCCAATAGACCCGAAACACTAGGGGATCAACATCGATATCCTTCATATTTTGAAGAAAGGTGCTTTAAAGAAAGAATATCTTGATGAATATTTCTGATAAGGCGATAAAGCGAGTCTATATGCTACTTTTTATTATTATTATTTTTTTCTTTCTCCAAATATATCCTCCTCCTTGCATGTATGTTTTATACTTTTCATATCCTCCTTCATTTGACCCTCCTTTCTATCTCCAATATTTTTCTTATACACCCTTCTTTTTACAAACAGTGACCCTCGATATTAAATTGGAATGTGTTGAGATACTCCGAAAATATCTATGAAGGAGTACTCAATACCTGAAAGTTTTTTTTTTTTTACTCTTATATGTCATAGAAGTTTATTTTCATACCAAAAATACCCTGACCATTATTCATCATTAAGTTTGACTATTAAATAATGTGGTTTGATTGGTATCTTTAAGAATCAAACTTAACAACGGATAATAGTTCAAGACAGAAATACTACGAAATAAAATTTCTAAGGCATATAAGAGTAAAAAAAGAAAAATTGTCAGGTGCTGGGTGCTCTTTCGTAAATGCTTTCAGGATATTTAAGCATCTTCTTAATTCCTCACCATGGGCCATTACATGATATTGTATTGTTTCCATTTAACGAGTACAAGAGACTTTGTACATTATCAAATTAAATAATTTATTGAACCATTCCACTATAATGTTCGAATAATAGAGTTCAATTTAATAAGGAAAATATGTGTCTAGTTTGAGTCATCTAAATTTTTTTTTATTTAAAAGTTTTGGTAGTGTCTAACTTCCATTTAGTGGATTCACTCCGTTTGAATTGAATCAATATGGGAGGGTAATGGAATATAATGATAGAGAATGTAACGTATATAATGGAAAGAAATTTGTATTTTATTTTAAAAAAATAATAGTAAATGGGAAATGATAATTAATGAATGGCATTCACCAAACGTTAAGAGGGTCCATTTTAAATCCAAATGGAAGATACAGCAAGGGACAGAAATATAGAATTAAACAAATGGAACCACTATTTTCACTCATAAACATCTAATAGAATGTAATGAATATGAGGTCCACATTAAATCCAAATAAAACAAACAATTTGAAAAGCTTTGCTAGACACAAACCACTTTTGCCATCAAATATATTAAGGGAGTGTTTGGATAGAAACCAAACCATGGTTTCAGAAGTGCTTTTACGGATTACGAAGTAAATATGTGGAGGAGGTTACCTCGTTTTGCGGAAAAGTGCTTCTGAAACCATGGTTTTAGAGTACCCAAACAGGCCCTAAGTTGCTGATGCCAATCTTTAATAAAGGACCTGAAGGGTCTGCATGCAAATGACCCATATAAAAATATAGAAGAAAAATAAACCAAAAGCAAGAGTAGCATGACGACGATTATATTTATTTTTTATTTTTTAGAAACAAAAGTAAAAAAGAGAGGAACCTTATCCTTACTCTTACTTTACACGACATATAAAACGAATCATATGGATTGAAGATGAGCGAAATTCAAGTATAGGAAGCTAGCTAGCAATAGAAATAATCCTAATCACATTCCTCTTATAATAATATATACTTTGATACGTAAGTAGTAATCCTTGTTCATATGCATAAAGTGGTTATCATATATTTAAATATTATTACTTTAATCTCTTGTTTGGCAATTTGTCGAAAGTTAACCACTAAATTGCATGCTTAGAATTCGAATAATGGGATATAATTAATGAATTCCATTGTCATAGTCCACTAGACCATCATGTTTTGAGATGGCTTTTTATCTTACCGTGGACCCCATTAGGTATGTATTCTATTCTTAATGATAAAATGAAGCATAAATGAATATTAAGCATGCCTTAATGAATTAGATATGGTAAGCAAATAAATTTAATTTTGACATTTATGGGTATATGAATTTTTTAATTAATTTGATTAATTTATTTTTAGGACGTCAAATATAAATATTTTGTTCATATTGTGGACAAAAGATGCTTCTTCTATTTGAATAACTGATATCTAATTCAAATGATTCAGCTTTTCATATTTTTTTGATTAAAAAATGTAAAAAAT